GTAGGTAGGCTGTATCCTTCGCAACTGAATTGAGGAACAGGTTGAGGAAGTCTCACGGTAATACTGTTCGCCGTTTTTCTCACTTCCTCCACGTTGTAGGATACTTGATGAGGGATCAAACAGTTCGTGATCGGATAGGTTTGCAAGGATTTTCCAAGAGCTTTAATACTTCGTACGGATGGTAAATAGAAGTGCTTGATCTCCTCGTCATCGGGATACTTTTTATTTACAAAGTAAATCTGATCCTCCGCGATGTTGGACCAATAAATGTTCATTTTATCAGCGGTCAGCGATGTTGGCGGTAATCCTTTATTGAAACCCGCGTTTACTATCAAACTGCATGCACAGCCATCGATATCGGCGATATTCAAGTGCCCTTCCAGAGAGACCCAGTACATGACTGGTTTCTGAAAATTGGTACTGTCGATTGTCATCACGGGTATCACTGATGGCCTATACGGGCAGGAGCAATCATCCATGTGATTGAAGAACGGTTGAATAGCTCTCCCGTCTAAATTCGATTGCATTATTACCCCGCTGTCTTTCTTGGTCAGTTCTATCCAATACAGTGACCTGCAACAAATTAAATCTATAACAAATTATAAACTCGAAATACGTGTTTCAAAAATTCCATAACAAAGATTAGCTACCCCGTGGACGGTAATATATCGAGATTCACGATTCGTCTGCTGGCCGTGACAATCATTTCGTACTTGAGAATTCCAGCCTGCCACATGGTCAAGTCTAATTTCATGATGCGTCCACCGCTTTCTCTGTAACTCGACTCGGACCAATAAAGATGTCTCGCGACCCAGTCGATGGTTATGCTAAGCGCGCTGTTGTTCAGTGTCAAAATTTTTGTAGCGTTTGCTCCGTTCAGATCCGACGTCACCAGCTTCTGCATTTCGTTGATCCAATAAATTTTGCTTTCCGCTGCCAGGTACGTCACTTCCACCGCAATGTGCCTCGTAATGGTATAGTTCACCTCCTGATCTAAATCGGATCTCCTAACAGCGTCCATCGTGGCGACCAGCAATTGTGGCACCGGATTCTCGTATATCGTGGAGATGTTGATCACGTCGGTGTACGGTCCAGCACCGATCTCCGTGTGAGCACGAACTTGGAAATAGTACGTGGTGTTCGACAAGAGGTCTTGAACGGTGTGCTCTAGCAACGTGGATGGGATGATGGACTGATCGCAAATCTGGATGTCCACGTTATTCTCCTTGAACCAGCACTGGACCGTGTATCCGGTGATGAGACCGTTCGCGAAGTCCGGTTGGTCCCATCTGCAAGGAAACGTAAGGAAATCGTTCGAAGTACGTAAATTTGAACTTTTATCGATACAAATATCGGTACGTTTATCTGTATTTACCTAAATATCGCGAATATGTCGACGTTCTCGTTCAGAGGCTCTTTATGGAACTCTATAAACGCTCTGGGATTCATTGGCTGGCTCGGAACACTCTGTGGCGATCTCAATATTTTCCTCGTATGGTGCGCCGTTTCCCAATACGTGAACGCCTTTACTGTCACCTCCAGGATCGAATAAGGCAAAATCTGCTCGGAATTATTATAAGGCATCGAAGTTTCCGTCGTTATCTCCGGGTTCGAATTGGTGTTGATGTAATCCGCGAACTTCACTTCGTAGAACACAGTTCCGTAATTGATATTCTCGACAGGATCCCAGGATATGTTGAAGTTCCTCCACGTTCCTTCCACCCTAATACTGGTATAATTGACGTCATTCGGTAGTACCGCCACGGTTTCCGACGTGAGATTCTTTGGGTATTGATGAAGCGCCGGATCCATGACAGCCACCATGTGCAGGCCCGACAAAGTGATGCCATTTATTATGGCTGTGTTCTGGCCAGACAGATCTCCTATCACCGCGTTTCGGTCGTCTTGAAGCCATAGAAGATGTTCTGAGAAGTAGCACAAAGGACCTTGCATGTTTGGGTGTTGCAGAGCGGAGACCTTGGAAGATGAGTTTACAAAGTAATTATTATACTCCTTTCGAGCAAAATCGACAAGAAAATTAGATGACTATAAAAACCTTCTCTGGCACGATTTTGCGACTCATCGGAATCCTTTCAGACGTCGGAGCCCGATAGACGATGGATCCGCTCTCGTAGCTCCGAACGATCCAATAGACGAACCTGTTCTCCGTGTCCAACGTTAACCCCATCACTTGTTTCCCATTGAATATTTCATCCGAGTGGTAGTATCTCCTGTCCTGTCCGTTTAAACGGGCTACCTCAACGGCGTGACCCGTCGACCAATACAGATATGCCTCCAAAGAATCGATCATTAATTCCTTAACGATGGCCAGGATCGACATTGGTTCTTGATGAGATCCGTTTAAATTTGCTCTTGTTATCTGAGAAGAAAATACGAGAATACGTATCGTTATAGTTTGAAATATTCCTGGTATTGAGATCAATTAGAAAAGCTCGTTTTATTTACAATCTGTTGCTTTGGATTAGCCCAGTACAATTTCTTCGATATCCAATCGACGGCCACGCTCCCGACAGAGTGAATGTTCATCTTGGACTTTTGATGACTCGTAATATTGTACCGATAGAGTGCAGAATTGTTTCCTACGATGTACAGAATGTCCTTGTACCAGCTGACGTCGACGATGTGATAGTCAACCTCGGTTTCCTTCAAGCTCGCTTTGTAGATCAGGGTATCGATATTCTCTCCGGTCACGTCGCTTCTTAGAAGACCTTCGTTCGCGGACCACAAGATGAACGCATGTGATCCGTCTCTAAAGAGTGAATAGAGAATTTGACAACTCGGTAACACTCGAAGATGTTCCTCTTACGAACCACGATCGAGCCAGTATTTTAGATCGTAATTTACCTCAATGTTCGACCTCTGAACTCGGTGGACCAAGGTCCCCTGCCAGCGCTAGTGTAAGCTGCAGCCTTGATCGAGTACTCTGACTTCTCCCGAAGATCGTGCACGGTATGAGACGAGCTGGATATGTCTTTCTGATGAATCGTTTCCCCGGTAGACTCGTCTTTAATCTCCAGTTCGTAGGACCAATTCTGCCAGGCGCCTTTGCCCTGACCGCCCAACAGATGAGGCGCCTGCCAAGAAACTTTCGCTCTCTCCACCCCCAGGACAGCTTGCACGCCCGTAGGAGGATTCACGGGGACAGGAACGGGCTGGCTCGCGTCCATAAGTACATTGACACTGACGAATGAACCGTTCGACCTAAAAGGGACTCTTTCATTGAAGCATCTGTATCGACATCCACTCTGATCGAGTAAGAATGAACATTCCCACCTATCGGGGTAAGCATTGTGGAAGTATCTGTTCTGTCCCGAATGGTATCCCTCTATCAATACTTCCTCCCCGTTCGTCCAATAAAACAAACCGTTCGCCATAGCCAGGGAGACCACGTTTTTGAATTTCGGCTGCTGCGTGTTGGCACGGAGGTTCAGGACCTCGCGACCATCCAGGGAGACGGATATCACGGTGTTTTGTATGTGATGGGGAACTAACAGACGGAAGTTCGTGTGATCGACGGTGAACGCTCCCAAATTCACGTCCTCTAAAATTAAATATGGCTGAATCTGAAACAATCGAGCCACAGTCATTTACGAATGGAGTACGATATAGACTATCGTGGAATTAGAACCGGTCTTTCGTGTGTATCACGCGCGAAACGTACCACGTGTTTCACTCCGTTACTTATGTCAGCCAGATCCAATCGGTATAAACCGCCCCTGGTGACCCAGAATAAGTAACCATTGTACGGGTCCACCTCGATGTGCGTGGGTCGTGTTAACAGACCAGCCACGGCCACAGTCAGGCCTCTTCCATCCAGATTACATCTAGCTATCTGCCAAACCGTTGTCGCGCGTTTCACCTCGCCCAGAATGTACAGATGAAGGTTCAGCCAATCGACCGATAAGCTGAGAGGCTTGAAGTTTGCCTGGCTGGGACTGAGTATCACCGTGGGCTTCGTTCGTTTCGTGATGGACGTTCTGTACACGTATCCCAAGGAATCGGAAATGAAGAGCTGCGCCGAAGCCACGTGGATCGCGACTCCTCGGATAGTGCTCGTGTTCTCGTAAACCACGCTGGGATCGTCCAACATGTCCGCGTCCTGCTTCATAACTACATGCTGCCCTCCGAGAATTAAAATTGGTTGTTGCGTGTCTTTCACTGCAATATCACGAATCGTGTTAGCCCTCGCGTTTTCCCTGGACACGGTATTTTCGAAAGCTCGTCGAAACTTTAATTCGTGCAACGATGGAACATACCAGCCGGTTCTGGAGTTGTCATGACGTAAGTTACCGCAGGAGGTCCCTCTCCAACTCCGTTTCTCATGGTCACGCTAATGGAATAATTCTTGTTCGGCTCGAGATTTTGGAACATGTAGTGATCCGTGTTTTCCGAGGCTGGTATGTCCTGTCGATGGATCGTAAAGCGTATTAATCGGACTGTCGGCGTGTCTGTCCCTTTCGATCCCTCGCTGGGTATTCGGTATGCGAATAGGAGAAGAAACGCCATGCCAGAAACGTATTTCGTGAGAGATCTGGTTCTTACAAGTTAAGAAGCTGATGTTAACGGGATGAAGAGTAACTCGATCGGTTAATAAAGGTTCGCGTAAGGTGAGGTATCGATTATTCCAAGCAATTGTAACAAGCTTTTAGTTTCTCAAAGCGGATTTTTTTAATTAAACCCAATGTTAATGTCAATCGAGCAGAACCACCGTTCGAAACGATGTCAAAAATGAAAGAAAGCGTGCATTTGTCCCAAACATGCTTGTTCCGTTCTCATCCTTTTTTACCTATCAATGCACATTATTTCTGGGGAAGGGTGGGCAGTCTTGTAGAACCAGTTGCTATTTCGCACAGTGCTGTCTGCTACAACTGTTAGAAAGAAGAGAAAAGCGCAATCGGCTTTGCATCGACGTAGACGTCGACGGATGCTGATAAATAGCGACGATAGGCTTAGAGAAAAAATAGCCGCGAGCATTGAAACGCGTATTCGTGTAGGACGATCTGCGTTTCGCACGAGACAGAGATAAATATTACGGAATAAATAATCGCAAAAGAAGTAACGATATGATACGCTCGGAGCGGAGACGATCTCGGGATTGTGTTGGGACGATTTTAACCGTAACGCTACGCGAAACTGCAATTCAACGGCAAAAGCATAAAATTTACACGAGAAAATATGGAATAATAGAGTTCAGAGAGAGACACACTTACCCTGTACTTTGTGTAAGGCTGCAAATTTTCCACCAAGATCTGATCGTCTTCTCCCCACGATTGATTTCTACAATATTGCCAGGTCTCGGCCAGCTCCTCGTACCTCCATTGAACTAAGTACGATATGCCTCCGTCGCGTCTTTCGATGTCTATTCCTTTCCATTCGAGACGCAGGGAAGTGGCGGTCAACGAGTCCGCGACTAACGCCGGTGCCGATGGAATACCTATTTCCGCTGATAGTGGACACGCGTGGATATCAGTAGGAGTGGCGTGCAGATCGGGATATCATTTGGTTATGAGGATCACGCGTGAACGTCGACAAAAGTCGATCGCGACGACAACGTTGCCAAAAGGTTTCCTCCACTCGCGAACGTCATCCTGCCATAACCGCGTAATTTACAATGAAAGCTGCCTGTCACAGCGTTTTCGTGTACGACTCGGGGAATAACTCTTAATAGCGAACCGCCTCCTCGAGTAACGCGCGATGAATCTGGAACGACAACGAGCATTTACGGAGTATAAAAAGATCCTGGACGAGCTGAAGGCTACGTTCTACGAGAGATGGAAGGTTAACAAATCCGACAACGTCACTTTGAACGATTTCGAACGATTCCGGACCATCGGGACCGGTGCATTCGGACGGGTCATACTCGTCAAGTACAAACCGACCTCCGCGTTCTACGCCATGAAGATCTTGGAGAAAGCGAAGGTAGTGAAGATGAAACAGGTGGAGCATACGTACAACGAGAAAAGGATACTGCAGTGCATCAGGTTCCCGTTCATCGTCTACATGGAGTTCTGTTTCAAAGACAATTCGTACGTGTACATGGTGCTGCCTTTTATCAACGGTGGCGAAATGTTCACGCATCTCAGACGAATGGGAAAGTTCGACGAGTCCCTGGCGCGATTCTACGCGGCCCAGGTCGCTCTTGCCTTGGAATACCTTCATCACTGCAGTCTGGTTTACAGAGACCTGAAGCCGGAGAACATTTTAATTCAAAACACCGGTTACATCAGAGTAACTGACTTTGGATTCTGCAAGATGATCGACGGCAGGACTTGGACCCTGTGCGGTACCCCGGAATACCTGGCACCGGAAGTGATCCTGTCCAAGGGCTACGGCAAATCCGTCGACTGGTGGAGCTTCGGAGTGCTGATCTACGAGATGAACGCTGGGTACCCGCCATTTTATTCGCGCGACCCGATGAAGATATACGAGAAGATCGTCGCTGGTAAATACAAGTTTGCCCATCACTTTGGCGAGGAGTTGAGGGATATCCTGAAGAACATACTGCAAGTAGATCTCACCAGACGGTATGGGAATCTGAAGGGTGGTAGCATGGACATCAAAGGACACAAGTGGTTTCAGACCACGGATTGGAACCAGATATATCACCAGAAAATTCAACCCAGTTTCATACCGAATTGCTCGTCGCCAGAGGACACTAGCAATTTCGACTACTACGAGGAAGAGCCGCTGAAGATAGGCGCGACGGATCGTTACGCTAAAGAATTCGCGAACTTTTAACCGACCAAACCGACCACGGAACACCGTAATTCGACGTCGAAGCATATCTTCGGAGGTATCGCAAAGAGCCGTAGGTATTCGTAGAGAACGGGGGAAGCACGTTACGCGAAAGGTCTCGAAAGAGCGTTCACTGCCGCGAGCGAAGTGCATATTACCTTTCAGTTGCTGAAAGTAACGATTCAGCGCGTCGTGACAACCCAGAACGCAGTACAATTCTTTCGGTGGTAGCAATTCTTGCGTTCCATTCTACAAACAATAGAATCGACGTTAGGCTAAACAAATGTTACGCCCGATGGGCTGATAAAGGTGAAAGGAAACCGTTTAACGCTGGAATTAGAAATAGCATAGAATACTGTTTTAGTATACTAACGCAGACGGCTTGACAGCTCGTGTCGAGTGCTCGTTGCCACGCTCCACAGCCCTTTGTGCACTGAAACAAACGCAAAACGTTCGCGTTACACGATGTTCGCTGGACGTTAGGTTCTGGTTGGACAAGTGGCGTTACAGTTCAACCAGTTCGTAAACATTAGTTCAATCGGTTAATCAGATGTTAAGAACACGGTTCTCGTCTCGTCTCGTGACGGTATCCAGCGCGTGAACGTATCCGCGCGAACTTTGATAAAGCTTGCTGGTTTATTCGGAAATTTAAAAGCAAAACGTCGAATCGAGCGGATGAATCGCGATAAGAAGCGAGGCACGTTGCGTCATTTTGGCATTGAAGTAACTGGAACGTCTGTGTGGCGAAGCCGTATTGGAAAGATGGACGTACGAGGCACGTGCCTCAAGTAACGCCCACGTTCATAAGACGGCTGGTCGCTTCGTGCCGAGCATGGATTTGCGAACCGAAGTTTAACGCATTAACTTTCTGCATGAGAGGATGTGGGCATTTGTCGGCGACAACAAGCCAGTCGAAGGAGAGAAAGAAGAAAAAGAAGACGAAGAAGAGGGAGAAATAGAAGACGAGGAAGAGTAGGAAGAAACCGCGAACGCGTGTGCTTGTTTGCGATGGAAATCGCGATCATTCGCAATTATACTTTTTCGCTCAGGCGACTGATACGTCCTCCGGACCTAGCCTTTTTCCCCTTGCTGATAAACGCGCCGCAAGATCAGTAATGTTATCGTTCAGAAAATTGCGTTATTGCTTTGACTTGGTTATTAACCCGTTCTGTAGTAATCTTAATAATAAATCGACATTGCTATCGATTCGTCGTTGCATCTCTGAAGAAACCTTCGCCTGCGAAGGCAACGTAGATCGCCTCGAGATAAACGAAAGCAAATTCGTCGGTAGCCAAACGAACCTCGCGAGCGAAGAGAGAGCTTGCAAGCTGATCTCCGCTTCGAGAGCGTCTCGAAAGAAAGCGTACTTGGCGAAACGTAAATACACAAGAGCGACGTGGCGTGCGGGATGATCTCGAGTTTGTGATAGTTCTGTCTAGACCGAGGAAGTTTTCGATCGTCGACGTCGTCTGTAACTCGTTTCTCGTTCCTCAAGTGTCGCTCGACTGGTCTTCCACCGGACGAATTTGTATATTCCATCCGTATCCCTTCCACATTCCGTCCATCGGTGCTTCCTGTTCCAAACAGGCGATAATTGACGTTTAATCTCGTCCTGGATGAGGATCGAGTGGCTCGTCACGAGTGTTCTTGTTACGGTAGCACTACATCGTCCGTGCGTACAGTTGCGCCTAGTAAAATCGCTATTTCAACATCGTATCCCGAGATACAAGAGAGCCATTTACCAATTGTCAGGCTGATCGACACTCTGCCGCGTTGGAGAGGCGCCGCACATAAATGGTACCCCTCTCGACATTTTAGAATAATAAGCTCGCCATGGAAAGCTTAATTCGCCGGGATTAACGGTGCACCTGCGTTAACCGCGAGTTCCAAGCCGCGAAACGAATCGTCTTTCGCGATACTACGCGTGAAATCGTTGCTCCACGATGATAAAGGGAGCGCGTGGAATTTTATTCTTTTTCCATTTTTCCTGCTCGTAAATGTAGAGCAGACTTAATCGAGAACAATGTCGAACCTCTGGAAATAATTTACAACATCGACGGAGCTTAATCGAGTTAAATTGCAGGATCTAGAAACAGAAAGAGTCGTTCGAAACTCCGATTAAATCTCGTTTCGCGCTCAATAATTATTACGTACATACGTATAGGAGTACGGTGGTATTCGAGGGTATCACATAGGTCAACTGATCTGAAAAGTCTAGAAGGAAAGGGACCTCCGGCACTAGATAAATAAGTTATTAATAAATATTTAGCAGCAGTTCGATTTTACAACTTCAACGCGATCCGAGCACGTAGCACACGCGACATCTGTAGCTGTCCGAACGGGATCGCGAGGAATCGACCTATCGAACGCGGAACGAGACATGGGTTTCGAGGGATATTTGGACGAACGGCGAGTTAAAAATACGCCGGTCTTATCGGTATCGTGAACCGAGAGAAAGGGAAAGAAGAGATGCGAAGGAAGAGATCGAAGACGGGCGCAAGAAGAAGCGTCGAACGATCATTTATCTTGGCAACGGCCACTCTAACGACCCTAGACGACGATAATTTTTAACGTCTTAATTAATCATTTTCCGCGTGACGTTTCATTGCTTCGAGCCCATATCAAGCTCGATCCCCCGGTTTTCAATTAGTTCGCACGAAACGCAGCTTTCCTTCCACTC